TTTTTTTTTTTTTTTTTGCAGGAGCACATCGACGGAACCCGAGCTGTCCTTTGACGAAGCATCTTCATCACTGCCTGATCATCATTTTGATGATGAGCTCGACAAGCATATGCTACAGATTATCACCGATGTCAAATATGTGAAAAAAAGGCCAAAATTTGTGGCCGTCGGTAAGTTTTAGTTCAGTTTGAAAATTTAGTTCTTTTTTTGGCTTTTTTGACTTTTTTGGCTTGCTAAATTTTTTTTATATTCACGAAATGCGTAGATGGAGTTTTTTTTTTTCAAAAGCAAAAAAAAGCACAAGAAAACTGAGATGAGAAAAGGAGACGTAATAGAAACAGACGTAAGTTAATCTAAGAAAAAATGTGCAAAATCACCTTAGTGTAATTGAAAAAATATGTAAGCCTAAAACAAATATTTAGACAAATATAGATGTAGTCTTGATATCTATAGACTTTTCTTTAAATTTTATGTAAGTGCTTAACATTTTGATAGCAAAAATAAAGAAAAAACTGTTATAAATATTTGTTATTTACAGTGTTTGCAACTGGAAAGTAAGTGAAATGTAAATATCAAAAAACGAATTTTTTTTGAGGATATATTTGTTTTTTTTTTTTCGGGAAGCGGGGGGGGATAAAGATACATTATAAAAGTATCAACTAAAAACTATATTGGATTTGGCTGCAAAAGTTTTTTTTGTTTTAATGCTTGATTTTTTTTTTCGTTAGAGGAGAAACAGAGATGAAGACATAAGGGTTTTGACTTTTTTCAGAAACAAACACAGTCAGAAGTTTGATTAATGATTGAAAAAAAAGGAAAAAAAACTATAGGTATAACTTGGAGAATTTAGGTGAGGTGAATTTTCAACGAGAATGTTTGGATGCACACAATGTTGTTCGGTCTAAATACGGTAGTCAAAAGCTTCTATGGTCTCAGGAGCTTGCAGATCTAGCTCATACTTGGGCAGTTAAACTTGCTGACAAGGGACGAATATTGTACCCGGAATTACCAGGTAACTTTCTTTTTTTTTGCCTTCTCTTATCTCTGCTTTTTTCTTCTTCAACATCTTAGCACCTCATTGTTAGAAACAGTTTGCTTTAATTATGCTCTATTGAAGCTGCAAATTTGTTAGCCTAGACTGAAACTAAAATTATCGATCTGTTGTTAGTCCAGACTGATATCGGTTTGTTTTTGCAGTCAACTAAAGTTTCACTAGCGAAAAAATCAATTACACATATTTTTTTTTTTTATTTCCTTATATAAAGCTATTAAGCAAGTAAAAAAAAATCTTCTTTGCTTTAACAGGTAATAATTTGCAAAAAAAGTCAACAGTCAATTTTTTCTCCATTTTTTGACAAAATTTTAAACCTTTTTTTTTGTTGTATATATATTGAAAAAAGTGTCATAAAATGATTGACCAATGCCACAGCTAAATTCAATAGCAGTTTTAAAAAAGCAAAAGCAAAAAGCAAAAGCAAAACCAAAGGAAAAGCATCCTTTTTTTTGTCAACGGCGGCAGTTATTTGACAGATCTCACACAATTTGTATAACCTCTGTGAAACTTTTTTTTTTTTTTTTTTACTTTTATAGAAATTTAAACAGGAAAAAACCTGAAATCAATTTAGTTGCTAAGCATTTTATGTGCGCATTAAACTAAGGATAGTTGAAAAAAAAAGAAAATTTTGAAAATGTATGACTTTTTTTTATTTATCAGCAGCAATTATTTAACAGAAAAAGAAAAAGTAGTGGAAAGAAAAACAGATAAATGCAAAAAAAAAGCAAAAGCAAAATAGTTTGTAAAATTAAACGATCTTAAAAAAATTTTGCAGCAAAACTTAGCTTAGCAAAAAACAAAAGTTTTTATTTTTTACTTAACTTAGTATTCACTTAAAAAAATGCTTAGATTTTCTTCAAATATATTAAGCTTGCTTTTTTTTTGTTTCATTTTTTTTCCTCTTCTTCTTCTTCTTCTTCTTCTTCCTATAACTGATTACTAAGTGCTAAGCAGTTTGCTTTATTGAGAGTTGAAAATTTGTAGATTTAGTTCTTAGGCGCCAGAAGAAAAAAGTATTGCTGTATCTAAGCTTGAAAAAAAAAAACAAGTTTTTCTTTTTAAAAACTGCAAGAAAAATAGTCATCAAGATTTTTTTTTTTTTTTCAGAAAGCACTATAAAAAAGTTTTGCAACAGAATTGTTGTTGTTGTTGTTGTTTCAAAAAATCTTTTTTTTCCTTTTTTTGTCGTTAATCGACAATACCGATTAATTTTTTTGTTCTAAACTAATTATCTTCTAACATTCCATTTCTTTTCTTTCCTTTTCTGCCATTATTCTGTATTTAAGCTTCTCGATTCTTGATGTTTATCTTCTTTTATACAATTCATCTAAGTTTTCTTTTTGAACAAACACAAAAAAAAAAAAAAAA